CTTGTTTTCCTATAGCTTTTATTCATCTGCTGTTTTTTTTCACAATATAATTTCCTCTTCTCACTGTCTCCCTTGCTACGTTATCTATCTCTTATTCTCTCCCCTTTCGCTGTCTCCCCCTCTCTACCTTCATTGTCCTTCCCTCTTTCCCACTCATTTTCTTCACAGTCACTGTCCCTCTCTCCCCTCCATCTCCCTGGGGACAATTTTCTTTCTTAAATAAACTGTCATAGCTAGTGTTAAAATATGGGCCCTACATGGGGTGAGCGCAGCGAGGCAAAGGCATGGGGCCCTGGGCTAGTATAAAACATGGATAATATGCTGTGAGAGGTAATTGTATCTTTTAGCACAGAGATGAGTAGAACAAATGTGTCTCCTCCCCACAGTCTCGCTCTCTGTATTCCTCTTCCCTTTCCCCTCCTCTTCTTCCTTCCTTCTTCCTTTACACACCACAGTTCTGTTAATATGAGAGAATACTGGCTGGACATCAGAGCTGCTAAGAGTTCATTGTCCAAGTATAGAGGTGGGCAAGAGGCTGCTACAGAGGTTGGGAGAGGCTTCAAAGAATTTAAGATGAAAGTAAGGGTTATAAGAAGAGAAAGAAAGATAAATGGAAAGGTGACAAAATGCCTGGAGATGCAAAAGTTGCGAATTTGCAAACTTAAAAGACACCTTTTGGTGTCATTTACTCTGTTTACGTGTGTAAGATAAGAATATCCTGAACTTGGCAAAACATTCTTTCATTTTCTTCCTGTGTTAAATTGCCTCAACTTTTAACACAAACGAACAAGCAGAATAAGCAAAGAATTTTAATGTGAGGATTTTTTTTTATTATATAAATTTTTTTGTTCTTTGGGGAAAATAGAAAGAGGTATATTTGAGTCTAATACAGTTTACTGATGCAGAAGGATTTATTTCCCTAAATGGGTAAGTTAGTCCAGTGTTCAGATGTCTATATTTTTCTTTCCAGCCAACAGCTCTTAACACAAAATAAGTCTATTTTTTTTAGCTACTGCCATGTAAAGTTATTGAGAAAAATGAACACCTTTCAGGATATCCTCTTCTCTTCTACTTATCTCATCCTTACCATTGTTGTCCTTGTCACTGCCTTATTTCGTTTTCCATAATACGTTCTATAATGTGAAATTATCTAGGAGTTAAAAAATGAATTTGAACGCTTGTATTCACTTCATAATTGCTTTGACTGTTCAGCTGACTGATAGAAACCTATTCATACTAAAAATGTACATACTTGATTTAGATACCCATAATTATCATTGTATTTTAGCTTTCCCCTTCATTTCTATGTATTTTTCTTTTTTTCTGTAAGCCTCTCTTCAATGCAATTTTGCATTTCCATTATTTGACTATTGATAGTATAAAAGGATGCAAAATGAGGGCACATAATTAAAGTGGAAAGGCTTGTATTTCTGGTAAAAGTCCTGCCGGAATACCCTGTTTTTATAATTGTTTTAAATACTTGATGCAAGGCTTCATTCTGCTACTCCTCCTTACTTACACCTATAGTATTAAATTTTTTCCCAAGTTCTCCCTCTTCTTTCCTTGCTTTATAAAACAAAGCGTACAATTACTTCTTAATCTTTTCTCTTTAGCCTCTTTCCTTCTTTAACCAAATTTACCCTCCATTCCTTTCGTCCATGGCTCTGTCTTTACCTCCTAACTGATTGCATTAATGGCAGTAGAATGAAATGTGCTATCAGTGAGTGGTATTTCAGTCAGTCACAAGGCAACAGAGGCCAGCGAAAAGAGGCTGGGTAGAAGGGGTGGGTTGATGTAGGATGTGGGAGGGCTGAGATAGGAAGTCAGGAATTTAAAAAGGAGGGATTTGAAGAGACGGACATATGTAAAATGAGCAACAACAAGAAGGGAATGAAAGCTGCAATAAAATTAAAGCAAACAGTATAAGAATGTGGAAATAAAAAGTAAAGTTTTGAGTATGAAAAGAGAACATGAGCCTATGAGGGGGAGGCAAAAATGTTGGAGACTGTGTGAAAGTACACACATTGTTTTCTCATGCAAAAAAGGTGTTAAAAAGAGCTGAACTTTTTAAAAAAGGAAGTAATCTTACACTGTACATTTTCCGTATTTTTAGGAAACTGTGTTTTATAATTTATACAATATTCTGTGATTTGCTTTTAATGCCTGTGACATGTAGTCCACCAGCTTTTTTTGGTAATGTTTCTTCCTGCTTTCTTTACCACCCCTACAGCTGCAAATTGAGCTTGGAAGAAACACTGTTGTACACACGGTGTACTGAGCCATAGCTTGGCAGGCATGTGAAAATTGAGAAGGGCTTTGGTCAAAATGCCAGTCTACAGATCACTAAAAGCTTTCCGCTCAGGGTTTCTTTGGGTTTTTTGAGAGGTTTAGGTGGTATTGTTGCCAGTTGGTGAATTTTTCACAGTGAAAAGATGCTTGGAACTCCAACACAACAGAAAACAACATCAGACAACCTTAAGCGACAAAGTTGATGGAAATTGTTTGATTAGAAGGTAAACCTGTAAAACTTGTAACAATTGTAAAATCTAAGTATGTTGCATTTAACTTGATTGCATTTATGTAGTACCACCCAAAGATGATGATAAAACTAGCAGTAGTTTTTATTGTGATCAGCTTTACTTTAGAATCTTTAAAGGAGTGTTGAAGTAAGAAAGTAGGCCAGGTAGTGATGGCCCTAATGGAACTAAGCATGATAACAGAGCATAGGGGATGTTAGGGTAAAGATTTGGTGTACAAAACTAGCCCTGAGTCACATATTTCTCTATTGTTGACTAAATGAATGGAGAAGCTATAATGCTGGGTGACATAGTGTCTGTTGAACAGACGCCTCATCACCACTCATCCAGATTTGAGACATGACCTGACATTCTTTACTGCAAGGAATTATCATCATGAAGTTGCATTCATAATTATGATGCTCAGTCAATATGACAAACAATATAATCTTTGCAGCATTTCCAAGATCATGTGAGGCGCACAATTGTTACTCTTAACTGAACGATTATTTCTTCTGGCCTGTGGTGTATATGGATATACTTATTTTTTGGTACTTTTTGTAAAGAATTTTTAATTGAAGCTTATTGATCTGTGTAAAAAGTGGGTGGTGTCTGAGGTAAATCCCTTCCATTTGTGCAGTCACAGTCTAAATCAGCTGTGATATCAGCAATACATTTTTTTTCCAATTTTCTTTTGCCCTATTTTCAGAATAAACTCCAAAGTAATATTTGCTAGAGACAAATTGCTGTTGAAGAAATGAGTAAATTGATAATACAGCTGAATAGAAAAAAGGAAAAATAGAGGGGAAACCGTTTGTGAAAGCTAACAAAGGGGAGTTGGCTGTGTTTCAAAAAGGTGCGTGGCAGCTAAAGAAGATGAAGTGCTTCAGGATTCATTTACATCAGGCCTGACAATTCCCTCACATCTCCCCAAGAGCCACCAAGCTCTGGTTTAGATATTCCTAAAGAAGGTCCTTATTCTAGCTCCCTTTCTGTGCTCTGACTTTTTCTCTCTTGCCTTTTTTTCTCTTTCCTTTTTTCCGTATTCAGTCCTGCACACTCTTGTGCTCTTATGCGCTTGCCAGTCTTCAATCAGCCATCATGAAAGTGTCTGTCTAAGCGTCTTAACTATCCTCTGAGAGGCAGACATTTGTCTGGGCGTGCCTTTATCCCCTTAAGGCGTTTTTGCCTTGGACTTATTTCCCTCCTCACACCTTTTCAAACTCTCTTAAAGAGCTGACAACAAGTGAAAGTGACAGGGCAAGATAAACGTAAGGGGGAGAGACAAGAGAAGAGATGAGAGGAGGAAGTCCTCCATTGAAGGAGAAGAAAAAGTAGAAATGATAATGAGAAGTAAGGAGAAAACAGAACAAATTGAAATGAGGCCAAGAAACTTAAAAATAGTGAAAAGGTGAAAGAAGCACATGACTGAGAGGAAGAGAGGACAAATCAAGGTGAACTCAAGCAGAAGACAGACTAGGAAGATCAATCAGAGAGGGGGAATCCCAGTAAAACAGGGAGTCATATTTAATGCGTGTCCAAAGTGTGTTTCCCAAACACAGAATTTGGAGATTTCCCACCCTGCCCTCCAAAAGAAAAACTTTGGAGGGCAGGAGTGAGTGTCTGCATTTGAGAAGGTTTTTTTTTTAATACTGGTATCTTCCATTTGGCCTAGGTTTGATGTGTCGGGGAGTGCTCCTGCTTTGACGCTCTCGTCGGCCAAGCAGTTTTTAATATTCATTGAGCAGATCAGGAGAGGAGAAGGGAAAGGAATGGAGAAGAGGTTTTGGTCAAACAGAAAGCTAATTTGCAACTGAGGCAGTTTAGCCCAAGGCTCTTTCTGCTACCGGGGACATGAGCTGGAAGATTAGCCGAATGTATAATTTACACACCCCCGGTAACAAACTCGCATTGAAATCTTTCCATGGAGTGTGCATTCGCTTTCACAAAGTGGTGCACAAATGTACACAGAGCAGCTGGCACTCTCTTTAAACAGTTGTGTTACAGTAGTAACCTGCTGTTTTATTTTTGCATCTTCCCCTTTGGCAACTTCCTTTATGGTATTCAATTTAGTTTTACATCACTGTTGAATCATCACTGGATCTTTTTTCGTAACTCCAGCTTTTCAGCACAAAGTTCAGTGTACTTCGTATGCCCTGATCTAGTATTGATATTGGTGAACCAAATCATTCAGTTGTCTTTCTTAACTCAGTTAAATGTTTGTGAAAATGCAGTGGAAGAAGCAGTCTACTGGTCATTAGGGCATTACATAGACTTGATGTAATTATATCTTTAGGATGGCTTATTAAGGAATATAAATGTTCTATATCCTTTCTATTTCTTTGGAGATAATACCCACAGCCCAAGTGGGTATTATTATTAGAACTTAAGTGACACAGAATTCCATCTTTAGGAAATTATCAGGCCGAATATTAAGTAGGATAAATGTAGTGATCAAAAACTCTCACTGGTTCTGGTTTTCAGGTCCATGATCGACGTGCAAGTCTTTTCCTGGATGGCCTTGAGGAGGATGGGACACCCTACGGGACAAAACATCTAACCAACATGCTCTTAGACATCAGTGAGGATGGCTCTATGTGGGTGGGCCTTGGCTCCAATGGTAAGGTTGAGCGCTTGTTTAAGACTTGAGATTCATTAAGTTGATATTGTGGTTACTTTTAAGCATTAAAATGAACAACAATATGTTATCATAGATTTAAAATGGTATAAAGCTGTTATTTTTTCCTATGAGATGAGAGATATGATCTCCTTTTTATCATGTTTTTGAATTTTAAAATGGTTCCAATGACTACTTCACCTTTTTCTTGCTGGCACTTATTCTGTTTCAGTAACAGGGACATATCTGTGATTGATTAGTCTTACCCCAGAGCTGTTTTAGAATCAATGGCAGAGAAATTGAGAGAAAAATTATATCTGTTCATCTCTTGAGTGATAAACGAGTGTTTTTCTTTTCATTTATCAGTCATTGATCTCTCGTTCACAGAAGGTAGCATTTGATCAGTTGAAAATCACATCAGAAGGGGTGATCAATGCAAGTGATTGGCTTTGGAGCATGAGTGTGTGTTGTGTGTGTTTTTTGTGTGGGAGCTAAAGGTTGTTGAACTCAGGGGCTGTGTCTGGAATTCTGATGAGAGAATTGATTGTGCAAATGCTGATCAGATGCATCGATTAACTACTATGTCTGTTTTTGTGAGGAACCTGTTAAATAAAAAGAATGCAAATAAGATGAGAAGTCATCCAGAGTGGAGTTTTACATATCAGCCAAAGCCCTAAAATGTCCAGCAAATAGGGTGTAGCGTCATGTAGTGGCAAAGATGACCAAATGCAAGCAACTAAACACCTCCAATCTGCCTTAACTTTTGCTGCAACACCATAGTTTCTGCTGTTTGTGGGGCGAAATCACAAACTATTGTAGCAACAACTTGGACCTATAGAAATACCATCCAGTGGTTGTAGACTGGAACACTGGCCATCTTTATTTATATCTGTAGCCCAATAATGTGTTCATGCAAAATAAACTGAATGAGATGGCACAAAGGCCACGAAGTGTCAGTACAGTCAGTTGCAACAAACAAATGTGAGCAGTAATTCAGCGCTATCTCTCATTTTCCCAGAAAATATTCTTCCAGATGTTTTTTTATTACTGTACTCTTCACTCCCTGCCATTCATTCAAAAAGCAAGAGTTTTTTAATCCTACTGGAGTTATCAGCACTTCTGCATGGATGATGCATACAAGTACTCACTCAATACATGTTCTGATCATATTTTATTTAAACAAACCAGGTTATTCTTGAATCCAGGCCAGAAAATGTGAACAACTCTTCTAAAATGTTTGGCAAAGGTGTTGTAGTTACCTTAATCTTGGGAGCAGGGACTTGATCTTGGAATACATTCTACTGTGACCCACACATCAATTTTATATCTCACAGGACATTAAAATAGGCATTGAAGAAATGCAGAATATTGGAAGAAGTTGCGAAAATGTATGTTTCTGGGTACCATTTTATCTACAATGAGACAAACTGTCAGGGAATTTTCTCCACTTAAGACTGTCACTCCTTTTCCTGCAAGTGCCTCTCATGCAAAGATTAAATCAAGGGCACAGTGTACAAACTTTCTTAAATTTTTACGTCTTGAATGGCTATTAAACCTAAAATTATTTCAATATATTGAAATAATCATTTGAATTTAGAATTTGCCTCAATCTGATTATATTGCAACACTTAACACTTAATATTAAAAGTCAGTTATGTGAATAGAATATGTACAATTTCACAGTTTGGAGAAGGAAAGTTATTTAGCAACCCATAAGCAGATTAACAAAAGACAATGTCCCAGTCCTTATGTCATAATTGAGTCAAAACCTCTTAGAAATATCTGTGAACTTAAGTGGTTTTGTAGCAATAAATGGTTAAAAACTGGCTTACAGAAGGATACTGGAAATGTCTCTGCTGCAGGTTCCACCAGTTACTTTTTTTTTTCTTCAGTTTTACTACTAATATTGTGCATTGATTAATCCAATTGTGGTATCCTTCGTTTTTCTTCTTTTACCCTTACTAATAGAAACCTGCTTAAGGATTGGTTGTTCACCCCAGAATCTTGTAGTGTTCCACGTGATGTTACACTGCCTGTTATCGTGACCTGAAAAAAGTGACGTGTATCTCACGTTTAGAATTTTATGGTAAAAGTGTTAAAAAGAGGCCCACATGTGCACATATTTTTCTGTATTTTAACCACTGTGAGATCTGACAGTATAAAACAAATAAGAGAAGCAGATACAGAATTAAAGAAGAAAGAAACACTGACATATCTGACGAGACCTATACTGACTTCAGAGAATTAAGGCTTATACCTTGCATCATCCCAGTAACAATGGGGAGAATGCTTTTCAGAGTAAGCCATAATCCCATTTCCACACGCTAAAGAAATCCTGAGCCAAACCCTAAGGCTGCACAGCCACACACTGATCTAAGACACTTACATCCCATAAAGCCCCCTCACACTCTCTGTTTTACTTGAATACTTGCAGTTGTATGGTATGCCAGACATGCGAGATTCACCAAATCCTCACTCTAGTCCAGATGCAAACATAGATGTGCATACATGTACACACATTCTGTCTCTAAAGTAAAGATAATTTTGGAATGCACATGGTAATGCTTCAAACACACAAATACGTTCACAGACAAAGCTGGTCATGGCAGGGATACTGTCAACGCTTAGACACCTTTTCCATTTTCTAAGACTTAGTTAAACTAAACGGAAGTTGCTTGGGCACTAAAACACTAGCATCGTCATTATCTCTGTGGGTCCCTTATAGTCTATCCAACATTACTGCACATGTGTAGTGTAGTTTTGTTTACTTGTTTGATTGTACCTTTGGCCCGCAGTGCAGTTTCTCAACGTGTGTCTGTATATTTGTGCTGTATTCACTTACAGTGACTAACTCAGAGTTTTGCCACGTGCCTTGATCACATAAAGGATAACTTGTTTTTGAAAGCACAGCCATCTGTGAAGAATTCACTGATATGATGTGTCAAAGAGAAACATCTCAACATTTCATATCACTGTCTACAGTAACATCCTGTATCTTTAAATTTGCTGAGACATTGTTATACAAGTAAGGGAACAGCTCTCCAGTGTGTCTGCCTTCACTTTTATGTTAGAAACTACAGAAAAATATTGATACGTGGATCAACAGCCTCATAAAAAGAGTCCAGTTATCCTCAGAAACATTCAAATCCAGCTGCACTTGTTAGGTGGGCCAAAAGTGCTGAGCACAAGGAGCTGGCTGACTATTTTATGGTGTAATGTTGAATACCATCACCATAAAAACTAAACATTTAATCAAGGAGTTGTTTTGGGAGTTTCTGAGGACCAGGCTGAGCCAAATACTGTTCTCATCCTCTAAGAAGGGGTGAGGAGCATGAAGTTCCAAAGATCTGTGTGTACATGGAGTGTGATCTGCTTTGCAGCCATGTGCCACTACAGAGACATCAGAGCCAAAGACTCAAAGAAGCTGAGCAAGCTGGTAAAGAAAGCTGGTTCGATTCTGGGAAGAGTTCTGGATCTCCTGGAACTGATTATAGCAGAAAGAATGCTGCATGGATGACCCAGCATTTTGGACAACACTGCGCATCCTCTATAAAATCAACAAAAGAAGAAGAGTTATTTCTCCTTAAATTATTAGTTCTAAGAAGGAAGTAACGCCAAATATTGAAAAAAAAAACCATATTTTTTGTTAGAAAGGGGAACTCTTTATGTGAATGTTTTGAGCTGTCGATCTAAGAAATTGAAGACAATGCTTTGGAAAAAGTTGGGTGAAATTGTGAAACTTGCGAACATTCAATTACTGAAATTACCCAGACTGATTCTTAATAATAAATAAGTATTTATTAAATTACTATTGTATGGCTTTTTATTGCAGTGAATTATTTTTTTTTATATTGTACATGTGTGCTCACACTGCGTTTTGTTTTCAGGGCTTTCAACTGACAATCACACACACTGATCTCTGTTTTTTCCTTCTTTTTACCAGAATATTTGTTAAATAAGGTTGTAATACCTGCTAGTCCTCAGGTTGGACTTTATTGGCTTTTCATCAACCAGTGTCTTTACCCTCAGAAGTCTTGCTGCTCTCTAGTGGAGACAAATGAAGACTGTGGCGCATCCTGTTCACTTTTGTATTGTGAACTCTGACATTATAGGTAGCTGTTGGCAGCTTCACTTAGCTGGTATCAAGAAACAGAGGAGATAATCTACTAAATACTGTGAAATCCTCTCACTTACTGCCTTCAGTGCAAACCCATTAACACCTTCTTTATGTTCGTTTCCACTCTCTTTTCATCTCTCCAGGGTCTAATCAGTTCATTGGGCGAATGCAGGACTTTAGATTTTATCCTACTACTTTGACCAACAGGTGAGTTGAATAGAGTGGGGGATATGTAATGATCAGCTGCTAAGAGTGGGGGGGAGGGGGGATCTCAAAAGATGCTGGAAAATTTGTGTTAAAAAAGATTAATTGTAATGTGCCAGTACATTGTAGTAACACTGGAAAGGAAGTCAAAGGCTGTTTATTTTTACATTGAACAAAGAGACTAAAGAAGGAAAATAGAAAAGTCAAATACAGTATGGATTATACAGCAAGAGAACAGGATCAGTGAGGAGTGATTAAGGGAAAGTTGGTTAGAGAAACGCAGGGGAAGGCTAATCATTGCATCTTGAGATCCATACTACTTTCAGAGGATTTCACTGAGAATCCAATACTAAGTAATTAGAGTTTTGCTTACCATTAATGGACTACACATGGTGCAGACTTTGGGCTTACAAGTTGTCTCATCAAGACTGAGTTAAGACAAAATTTTAAATGATGATTGATTCCACGTGACACTTAACAATCATTGAAAAGCAGGCAAACATGCACTTTGACATTGAACTCTCATTTGTTCAGCAGGATTTTTGTTTCATTGCAAAAGCTTAGCTTGCTTTGAGGGCTTGCATTTGTTTTCTTCTTTTTCAGTTTCCTACATGTGTATTGAACTTAATTTTGATGCATTAAGAAAAAAATGATCATAAAGCATATTTTCACTTGAAAATTTGTATGATAGTTCAATTGTCGTTTTTAACTTTCAGTTTACTCTGCAGCAGGGTAGTTTGAGTTACTCTTTCTTTTTTCACAGGGAAGTTGTGGAATTGTACTCTGGAGTCCTTCCTGAGCTGCACACCCAGTCTGAATGTCGCTGTCCACCCAGTCACCCAAGAATACACCCCTTAGTAGAGAGGTGCATTTTCATAACTTTAAATGCATTTCACTTCAAAGTTTTCAATTATCAATGATCATGAATGCAATTTTCTTTGTAATGACTGTTTAGCAGTGTATAAATAAAGGTTTATATTTTCTACTAAAACCACTGTAACCATTTTATATGAAGGTGCTGGTGCCTACATTTTATTAATATTGCTATTAACAGGTACTGCATTCCTAATGGAATCGAGGACACCACCACTGACAGGGTATTAAGGCTGAACATTAATGCTCATCCACTCAGCTACATCAATGATCAGGACATGGGGACCACATGGCTGTCTAAGATCATGACAACACAAGACTTAGATGAAGGAATCACCATTACAGTGGATTTGGCTAATGGACAATACCAGGTAACGCAGCACATGTCTAGTATGTACATTGAGGCAGGCCCACCAATTGTATACTTTAGTGCAGCCATGCATGTATGGAGTGTAGGTTTGTCTGAGAAAAGAAAGCCCACTGACATTATTTATTGAATAGTGTAAGTGCTTAAAGGCATTGTCTTCTACAGGATCTGAAGTGTTATCACCTTTTCTTTAAGGCCATTATTTAGTGACTGAACTGACTGACTAAACTGAATTGATTTAACAATAAATCAGTCCACCACTCACTTGTGAGCTGTGGATAGGAGTTATACCCTCCCAACATAGCTGAAATCAGCTGTTACAGAAGCTTAGTTAAGAGTTTTTAATCATGTTTTTTATGGAGATTGTCTACAGTTTAAGAACTGCAAAGCATTTTTTTAAGCATTTTTTGATTGCACCCAAAAGTTTCAAGTGGATTTAAAGCTTAACATCTATATGTTATGACCTCCTTATTTGCAGTTAATGCAGGTAACTATAGAGTTTTGTGGGATAGAAGTAAAATATTACAGTTGGGCAGTCAGTTGCATTCTGTTAATGTGCAAAAGTGCAGTTCAACCACTACTATATGTCTCTTTTAGCACCTGTTTGTGCAGTGAACGTTTTTTTTCAGACTCAGAGAAAGAAACAGTGTGTGAGAGTACGCTGGATTTGGCTCTTATCGCCACGGGTGTTGTCAAAAGACTCATTCCTCTGCTCTCTGATCTGTGTTCTGTACATGAGTGTGGGCAAAATTTTGGGAGCTTTTCTGATGGAGTTTCTCGACTCAAGTCCACACATAAAAGACACTTTCTCAAGTTAAGGGCATTGGTGTTTGTACGTGAGTGTGTTTGTGCAGAATTGGTGGCTTAATGCACTCCCTGCTGCGTAACCCAGCGTCCCAGCCTGGACTGGAGTGCCAGATAACACTTAAAGCACACACACCTTCACACAAACATGCACAGGGTTTATTTTTGATATAGAAAAACTCCCTGTGAGTGTAAATATGTGTGGTATATGAGAAGTTCTCAACTAATTCATTGAACTGGGTCGAAACAGTAAGGTGCATAAGCACCCATCTATTTCTGTGACTTCTGTTTTTTTTTTTTTTTTGTGTCACCAGATTCTATGCTTTTTTCTTAATTGTTCGGGACAATTTAATTAAATAAGGAATAGTACCTATTCAGGGGAATCTCTACGTCTCTCCCAGTGGCAGTGGGTGAAAAAGGCCCAAATAAACCACACCACAGTCACAACTTCCAGTGAATTTTTCTTAATAAATTCTACTCAAAATGATGTCTGATACATTTTTTTGTGTGTGCCTTTTTTATTATTTGACGTGTGTCTTAGTCGCTGAATTTGTTTATACATATCTGCATGTGGAGCATAGTGGAGAATATTGCGTGAGTACAATGATCTGGGAAAACTCAGCTGTAACTCACACCCACTAGGCTACAAAGAAATAAAGACTGCAAACTAAGCAGGACTTGACAGAAAATATATTTTTGTTTTTATTGTTTATTTTTATGAGAAATATTCAGAGATTTTGATACATTGCTAAAAATATCTTTAATTGGCCTAAAATTGTTATCAATGTGAATAGATGTTTATAAAAAATTGTCATGTATACAGGCCTTGCTGACTTACTTTCATTGTATTGTGCTCATAATTACAATTTGTCTGTGTTCACACTAACCTGTAGCCCTCTCTCTTTCAGGTGTTTTACGTCATAGTTCAGTTTGGTGGACTTTTGCCAGAGTCTGTTTTGATCCAGAGACAGAAGCTTGATTTCACCGAGCCTGAGAGTGGCATCAGAGCAGAACAGCCCTGGTTGGATTGGCAGTACATGGCCAGAAACTGTAATGTGTTTGGGATGCAGAACAATGGGCCTTTACCAAGACCTGACTCAGTGAACTGTCTTCAGTTGCCCAGGTTTGTATCAATGTCCTGAGTAATTGTTTTTCAAAAGCCCTCCTGAGCTACTGATATGTTGAAGAGCCTGCAGACACTACTCACTACAAACATTAAATACAGATCGAACTCTGCCCCTAAAGATAATTAGTTTAACCATGGTCTCTTAATATGTTTTCAGGCTGTGCCTCTAATTTATTAAAGCCTAATTTTATAACTCCAATGCCTGACCAATCTGATAAAATCACTATTCAGGTAACTTAAAGACAATGCTCGTTCATAGAATTTTGCTTATCTTACATTAATAAGTCATTCCCATTGGTCAGCAGAATGTTTTAACAATTCCTTAACTTGACTCTACTGTTCAAAAGGCCAAATGAAGCTGAAAGCGCACTTGATTTTAAAATGTATGTAACTGACAGTTGATCTGCCTGTTATACATCAAAAGTATTTTAAATACCCATTGGACTATTTACATTGCATCAACTTCAACAAGCCTAAAAAAGAGGGATTCAAAGAGGGATTAAAACATTCTATTCAGATAGAAACAGGTTTAAAAATGACCAGGGAGCTGAGACTTGTGATGGCTTTCAGGACATTTAGTGAAGGTGTCAGATTTGAAATAAATCATTAGTTTTGCTTAGAAAAGCAAAAGATATGTTATTTCTTTTGAAAATCCGTTTCACAAATGTTATGTTGTAGTGATCATGGCCAAATGAATGATTTGTTTTTGGGCTTTCTACTCAATGCTCAAACAAAAATGGCTGGCAAAGTTTTCATGAGAGGAAAAAACTAAATTGAACATACATTTCGTTATTAACGTGCCAATCACATCTATAAATACACAAAGATTATCAAAGGAAACCAGATGCACGCCCTTCATTTATCTACAGGTATGGCTTCAATATATACTGGCACCCACACAGTAACGAGGTCTTTAATCCTAACCACCTACAGTGTTGCCTTGGCACATGAGTGGCAACAGGCTCTCAACTGGCACCAAGAACAGACCTGGACTTGGAACATACATACACCCACCATCTCACACACTCATTCTTGGCAGAGCTGCTTGCATCAAGAGCTTTCTTGGCACTAGATAGAACAGGTATGAATAGATCACAGATCATGTAGTCATTTCTTGTTTTTGCTTGAATGACAAATTATATCAGATCTACCTTATATCAGATCTGTCAATTTCTGGTGCAGTTATACATTTTAGTTAACTAACAGGTCAGATTCACATTTATAAGAGAGACAAACTTAATACTCCATATTAATACAAAGGTATATAATGTGGTTTTGCTAAATGTATATATTTTTTGGTTCTTTTATTTCATTGTGATGCTGAATCACATGACACAATATCACATAGGTTGTGACTGTGATGACTTCTGGAAGAATCATCTTAGTCACCAAAAGACTGGCAAACTTATCCAATTGTATATTCCAGTTTGGCAAGGCTGGTACTATTATACCTCATCCTGTGTTTGAGAAAAACAGTGTTTTCTTCATTCATCAGCTGAGTATAAGGTGGTGGAAAGAGAAAAAATTGACAGCACGGAGGCTGTACAGCTGGCAGGAATGACCTGGGATTTCCTGTCACTGGTTGGATGTCATATGACAAGTGATGAACTTGTTCAGTTCTTCAATGTGTAAATGGCTGATTTTGAGTAGCAACATCAAACAAAAATAGCTGTCTCTGTAATTTGCGTAGAAAATGCTGTACAAAGGGTTTCATAGGTTATCTTGCTAAAACAAATGATTTCTGAACACTGCTATGAAAAAGTTTAACAAAACACCTGACAAATAAAAAATTGGCAAAAACTTAGATTAAGTTCCTATAAAATCATCTATGATAATTTCATGTTTAAAGAATGATGTATCTGTATTACTTTATGTAAATAAAATTTAATTGTGGTTCTAATGACAAACTCAGATAGATATGAGGATTTTTTGTACTGAATAAGATACATTTTCAGATATAGAATTTATTTCTCTTTTTGATCATTTGGACTAAATGTTTCTCTATATTTCACTAGCGATGTGCCCTTCTCTGGAGGTAACATCACATTCAGCCTGCTGACCATGCAGCCCCATCCGAGGCCAGGCTACAATGACTTCTACAAAACTCCAGCTCTGCAGTCCATGGTACATGCTGCGCAAGTCAGAATTCACATGAGGGGACAATACCATACCGGAGGAGTCCGTGTGAACCAGCGATACAAGTACTTTGCCATCAATGAGATCACCATCAGTGGCAGGTGAAAACTTATCTGGGAATGCTAGAGATCGGCTGTCAGTTTATAAAAGTTACTGAAAGATCTTCAGTTCCACAACTGTCCCGACTTATTTCTGTGTGAATAAGGATGAGATGAGTAACAGAAGGATTGTATTTCTTATTTGTTTGTTGATAGTCCCTCCTGTTTCTTGCCAAACATAATGGAAGTGGCACAATTGGTTGAAAGAGGTATTCAAATGCGTTTTTGCTGCTGATATGAAAAGATACAATGATACAACAGAGAGCGAGCCCAGTTTAAGAATAATTCCACGCAGACTGTTGAGTGTCAGCAGAGCTCTCTGAGAGTAATTGTGAACACATCTTTTCATTAGACTGACATCGTGACTATTTTTTATGACTGTTGTAATTATAGGATTATGCAGCAGGCAATCATCTCTAACTCCCCCCTCCTCCTCCCTCTAAGCTGTTTTAATTAGTAGCTTGTTACAGCAAAGTAGGAGAAACAGAGATTTAATAGTGCTGAAACCTCATCTGTGCATTCTTCTTCTCTCCCTGTTGCTCCCTTCTTTTATTGTTCTTCCATCTTCGCTATTCTTTATAAAGTGTGTAAACAGACAAGTCTGAAACTCATTTGAGCGTCATTGTTCTAGGTTCTCAGAACCTTTTCATTACTTTATTGTTGTCGACTTGAATACAACTTGAATACAGGAATATTAATATGCTGCAATATAGCTGTCATGTCAGTCCTTAATTTGAACAGTCCCTTTTTTGTTTGTTTTTTATATCAGTGTGTACCAGACTGATGCTCATTGGGACTTCTGTCACACTTGGTCCTTGTTCAGTAGCCTGTACGTTCATTGTTCCAGCTTTTTCACTGCCTACTTTGAGCTCTCTGAATTTTCAGCCAGGTTATTACAACTACAGGCTCCGGTTACTTGGGCTTCTTGCACCTGAAGTGCTTCTCTTCTGAATCCACTTCTGATGCTAAAAGCTCTGTGACCTAAACAAGATGAAGTGAGGTCAGACATAGGTCAAGATCTGGTCTAAGGTTGGTTGTCCTAATATCAGCTTGGATATTTGACTTCTTTGACAAATGTTGCTGCTGACTATTGAGAGGAAAGGTGAGGGGGGACAGTGATAGTCCTCAATGCTTTTCTGGCAGTTCTGCAAAACAGTGTTGCACTTGTATGCACTTCTAGTTGCAACGACTATGGAATAAGCTGTTCTTGTAGCAGCATGTTGGATTTTGTAGATAATGGTCCTCAGGGACTGAGGCTCTTGGAAGATGGCAGGACAGCCGAGGCAGGCATGTCGTTCACTCTGAAAGTTTCCAACTCTGAGACACTTGTCTTGCCAGAGCAGAAAACTGCCAGTTATTGCAGAGATCGCAAAGGCAATGTCCAAAAGTACTGTATTTTATAAGAAATTGTCTAAATGTTCATTGCTTCATATTTGATTAATATAATAATGTGCACCCTTTAACAGAAAGTGGCATAAAAGGAACAAGAGGTGAAAGAATACGTGGAGGGGAGAATGAAAGGGACTGCAACTGGATATCTGAATGAATTATTGACTGACATTTGTGTAGTGTTTTATGTGTGTCTGCAAAAGAGAAGGGGGACAAGCCTGTCTACTACCTGAGATGTTACTCTGATCATTCTCAGGATGGCATTTATAAATGTTGAATGGGAACTTTCCACTGCTGCTTCTCCGTGAATGAGGGATGACACTGTTAACTAAAGATTTGGAAGAAGGAGGGCAGTTATCATGGTTTTTGTTTTCTTGTTTCTACTGACTTTCATATTTCTTTCTAAATGAAAAAAAAGCAAACACTTGAATTTGATTCCTTCTGGTTCTCTTTTACCTGAACAGATGTGAGTGTCATGGCCACGCAGACCACTGTGACACCAGTGTCACACCGTACCGGTGTCTGTGTCTGCCAGAGAGCCATACCATGGGAACAAATGTGAGTAATTAGCATTTGATCTTTTAAAATAGTGATGCTATTTTGCCAATGTTTTACACAGTAACACCTTACCCACTTATTTAAACTCAAATCCATAAAACCTATTTGCTCTCACAGAAATATAGTTAGTGCTATATATAGTGCTATAGCTACTGATAACTGTATCAGTAGCTATAGCACAATAAATCTCAGATTTTTTTTTGCTCTACATGATATACTGTTTACTTTCAGAAATAAGGGTAGAAAAAGCTAGAAACACTGACAAACAGGCAGGATAACAACACTGAGAAGCAGATCAAACAAAGAAGTCCAATGTTACAATACATTCTTTTATTTCACAAAGAAAAGATCAAATTTGACATATCTGAAAACCGCAGCATTTTACCTCTCCTGTGACATTCCACTCATCCTGTACATATAGAGAATGGGAAGAATCACGGATATTAGTCCATGTAACTCACTAGAATTGTGGGTGTCTCAGTATTTTATGCAAGACCACTTACATAAATGTAGTCTGCTCATTTTGAGCTTGATAGATTGTCAGAAAAATAAACTTTTGTTCTTTGCTCCTTGATTTACACTCAACATTTGTACATGAACAGCTGCATTGAGTTGCGGTTAGAGTTCAGCCTTGAAATGTAATTGGACCATCACTATGTATGTTTGATTTAGTGACACTGTGAACTGTGTGCGTTCTGTCAAATACTCAGAAACCTGTGCCAAGTCTTAAGCACCTGCTCATCTGTTTTACAGGAGAATGTGTGGCACTCATGAGATTACAGAAGAATAAATAATGTTGATCAGAGTTCAGCTGGATATGGAGAGCTTTACTTCTGCATGTTTATACTCAACTAGACTCAAATTAATCTAGACTCAGACATTCTATTTTTCTGTGTTTTTATTTAAAAGACAGGAAAGCCTCAGAGGATACATTTTTAAGTCGGATCAGTGTTGGAAATTATTGCTGAGAACATGGAGAACACGGGACATACTTTAGTTTGAGACTTTACTGTTCAGTTTGATTGGCGAATCTAACTAATTAGTGCTCATCTTAGCAATACCCTATTTGTTTACCTTATAATAATCTCACCTCAGTCATTTCAGCACAGTGAGACCTGTTTATGGTTTACAGGAAGTCTCCATTCATTTTCTGCCTACCTTTTTGAAAATGTCGAATTAATCCAATATTATTCCACTCAACATACTCTTCCACTCCAGCAGCAGATTATGTACACTCTGCTGATGTTTGCCACAGACTGAGTTGTTGGATCTAAACCATCACCTTTTGGCTAGACAGTTGTTACTTGAGAAGATAATAGACCTTGCCAGCTAAATGTAGGCACCACCAGAAAAAAGTCCACCATTTGGTCAACAGTGAAATATTCTGGTATGTGCTTCACTTCACTGTTGTACAGGGCAGCCTGCATTATTCACCTCTTATGTATCATTCATACACCTGTGTCTGTGCTTTACTTTGTAGATTTGTATTTTAGAGACACAACAGAGAACATTAGTGGAGAGGCAAGGCTGTCACCAGCTGTTTAGTTGTCTCTGTCACTTAAAGAGTCCTCTGGAGACTTTTGTATTAAGTTGCATATATTTCACATTAACAGCTGTTAAAAAGTTATTTTGAAAGTACTTAAACATATATATATACACACACATATAAAACGCATTTCACTGTGTCAGATCAATTTCATCATTTATATCAATGGTTAAGAAAAAGAATAAATCAGTATTCTTTCTGTTTTTTTACTTCTTTTTAGATTTCTTCTCTTTTATAGACTACATATGACTTTCCTCTCACTAGGTCCCTGTACTACCTCCAGCCTCTTCTCTTTGTAGAACACTCTGTTTCTCATAGTCTGTCTTTCTCTCCTGAGTCTCTGTTTAAATAATGTCTCAAATCGAGTAGAACAATGACATTCCCTCAGCATGCATCTCTAATCAGCTCTCTTTCTTTCTGTTTGTCTTTCGCTTCATTTCACTCAGCCGTTTTCTCAACTCCCCAACCCTCCAACCCAGCCACTCTTTATTTCTGTACTTTCTAAGTATGTAATTTGTTCCTGTTTGACTCTGTTTCCCGTGTTTCATTCTATCTTTCCTTTATTTATCTTACTCTCAAGTTGATCCATTCTCCCAAGCTGTCCTTTCTCTTTCTTTTTCATACGTTAGTTTTTTTATTTTGGTTGAGGTTATACCATGGAAAAAAGCTATATGAATCTGATTTATGTAAATCATGCTCTATAGGAGCTCTGCATCTGCAGTCCATTCGTTTCTGCGCAGAGTTCTCTTTGTGTAATCATCTGTCTACATGCCTGTGTGCACTTTTTTCTTCTAAACCTGTCTATGTCATCTCTCTTAGTGAATATTCAGGACCTTTCTTCTGTCTCCGTAATATTGGAGCATAAAAGGCTGTGGGGAATATTAGCGTTTAATATTGCATGCGATCTGTTGACTTGGATTGGCCTTGCACCATGACGGATGTTGTACTAATCTGTAGAATTTCCACAGTGACATTAAAGTGACAGAAATGCTCAGACATGTGTCAGAATGATCAACAGAGGCCTTAGAAGACACACACTTAAATTTCTCGCTCTCACACACACACAGAAACACACATGCAGATAAGTGCATGCACACACTCTCACAGCTTCTCACTCTGTCTTTTGATTCTTTTTTTTTTTGTGCACTTTGTGTCAGACTTGATTTCGAATTCTGTCAGTCTTTCACTGTACCGCTTCCTGCAACCGATGGATTTCATCATGCCTGAAAGCTATATCATTTACTACATTGTGCCTTATATCGCACAGTCCACTAAATGTACTATGTCATTTAATGGTTAAGAAGAATATAGCGGTGGATTTAATGTTGTCAAATATTGGCAAAAACACTCCAGACAAAATTTGTTTGAAGGCTTTCCCTCATTTTGCACTCTGCAGGACCAAATCATTGTTGCTTCAAGCCTGACCGAAGGCTTGACAGCGATGAACAAATTGTATATTTATTTGTGTGCGTACATGGGCATTTGTGAAATACCAAGTGTATGTTTATGTCTTATGACAGAAGAAATCTAAAAGTTCCTCTGGCTGCATGGTAGTGTGGTGGTTAGTACATCTGTCTCATAGCAAGAGGTTGAAATCCCAACTGGGGGCCCTTTCTGTGTGGAGTTTGCATGTTGTGCAAACAACACAGTGTGTATGCATGGGTTCTTTCCAGTTACTCCTGCTCTGTTGTACAGTCCAAAATATTTTGTTTTTAATATTCAAAGCGAACGCTGTTTTGTATGTTTTCCTGTGTTTGTATCTGTATGTGTGAGAGACTTTGATAGATACTGACATTAAGTGGCGTTGCCCAGGGTCTGTGCTGCCTCGGTTTGCATCAGCAGCAGAATTTCACCTGCACCGGGGTTAACCGGGTTAACTTCTATTCCAGATACACATAAAATGGATGCATGCACACAAACATTCTCACGCATACACAAGACAGTGCCATGACCTTTCCAGTGAGAGCGTGAAATTGGTCATGGCATTTAGGATAAGATGAGTTGTCCCAGCAGATTTACACTCACACACACACGCACAGATGCTTATGACAGGCCATCTGAATGTCCACATATCCATTAGAGTAGTCTCCTCACTCAGCAGGTTTTGTCGAAACAGTCAAAGTGAAAATTAGATGTTATCCTCTGTCGCACAGTCCAGTGTCCACTTTCGTCACCGCTCTCCAGCACACTCAGTGGCTCCATTGTGAGAAAATAAAACATGAATAAATCTGTTATTCACAATGTGTTTTACTAAACGGTGGGATCTACTAAATGATAATGTCTCTAGTAGCTTCTCATTCTGTCACCAGGTGGTGATTACTATTCATGTCATGACAGAAATTACAGAAACAGAAGACAAGTGCTGACCGATTTAAAATACTTATTATGCAGTTTCTTTTCACAAGTTGAAACATTTTCCTGAAGTCTGAAATATCTGTGACAAAGGATTACAGTACCACTGAGCTCTTGTCAATCCTGTCATAACAGCGAGTTAAATTGGAGTTACGAACTCACCTCCACTTCACCCCTTTCTTCCATTCAGGTTATTATCTATTTCAATCTTGAGTGACTATTCAAAGAGAATCTTGTGATTAATGTTTTTAATTACCCTTAAAGTACATTGTATTACACAGGATACCAACCCTTCGAGCTCAAACAGATTTTTCAAAAATTACTTGACCAGTCAATTTGAAATATTTCCGAGTCTGAAAATTGGCAGTGGACAGTTGGAACTGATCCCTCTGTTAGACACACTTTTTGTGACTCGTGCTGTGAAGTAGCCCAAGTTGTCCAAACATTAAGCCACGGATATAATAGTTGCAATAAGATGACAACCAGCCTACAAGGAATAGAGAACTTTAAATGTAATCTGGGAGGTAAAGATTTAGAGTGGCTCACTACTAGTCCACTTCTCTGTTTTGTTTTAGTTATTGAGGCTTAAATGGAGAACTGCTGTTTATTTTAAACATTTTCAGTCAGTTAAAAAACTTGTCTTTGTAATGGTAATCTCTGGTTCCAATGTGGTTGACGTGCCCATTGGTGGTACATCCAACTAATTTTAATTAGGGATTTCTGACTGGGAAAAATCAGCAAGAAATAAGATTTATTTTTTTATATAAGGTTTATCGACCCTAGAAAGGTAGCTTACCAAATATAGAGTCTTTGTTTTACTTTCCGAATAAGAAAACTGATCAAAAATGGAAAAAAGTATGGAACTAAGCAACTAAGTAAAGTGAGAATACAATGTGAAAAGATTAGCAAAGCATTCTGACTTCCCACCTTGCAGGTCCAACGGATGAAGCATGGTTTGTAGCTGTAGGTGGAGATAAAAGGAATGGGTTGGCTAAAAATGTTCTTCCCTGAGCTGGGTCTGTAACATAACAGTACAGTATGAATCTGAACTGCTCACTGTCTTACAAGTGATATGTTCTCAAACACAACCACATTTTTAGATCATAAAGCCGCCAATTCAAGGGTTATTTTGTGGGTAGACATATTTCACTATAACCATAATTGTTCTGGCATCACCATAAGAACTCATCTTGTTTGCTTTTTATAGTCTTAGTATAAATGTTCAGTTACCCAACACAGGGAGATGGTGGGTATACCCTAACACATTAAAAACCTTTTTTTTTGGAAAAGAGAATGAACTTGTGTGCACTTGTGTGCTCTTCTTTTGACGTCCAAACACTGGTCCCTCAACTAATTAGCAGGCAGAGGGTGAGGGAAGGTAACGCAATGTTGAATGAAAAGAAAAAAGAAGAAAGAGAAATCCCTTTCATTTGGTATGGTAATATTTCCTGCTCACATACTCACCACAGCTATGAGAACAAGCAGTTGGGGGACGTGGAGACGGGGGAAGCAAAGAAAAGGGAATCTGGGGGATATGTACAGAACTATTTGTTTTTCAGAAAGCGAGGCATTTCAAGAAAAAGAAAACTGAAGCCTGGAAAAATTGAGCATGTGGAGGGAAAAAGTATGAGAGAAGAACTCTTCTGCTTTTAGTGGATGGGTGGATATGATGAAGTGTTGCAGTAGCTTTCTATTGGAGGGGCTGAAAGTAAAGTACTTTTGTTATCTGAGCACAGAGACACAGAGAGCCGTGTGAGTAAAGACAGACGAGCAGAAGGGGAGAAGATGGAAGGGTAGTGACAAAGAAAGAAACTTATTCTAGGCATGAGAACGGATAGATTGGAATGTTCAAATGTTGTAGCCGATGGATGGCCAGACAGGTTGACAAACATGACCATACGAACAACAAAAAGCGTTCCTGATTCATTGCATGACCCAATACACTGTGTGTTTGTGTGTGTACGTGTGTGTTTGTGTGTTGGCATTTATAGACTTCTTTGTCTTTGCATTAGTGTACACATTACAACATACAGTACAACATTTCACATAATAAGTACATTTTTATGAGCAGAACTCTAGATATTGTAGTATTATCTATCAGTGCTCACAAATACTGAAATGTGCAATTCAGCAACCTAATACAATACATTTGGTTATGCAACACATTTTTCGGCTCTTGTTATTTCACTGTCTCCTTGTCATCACCCTTGCACACTTGCAGATAGTTTTATCTATTAATGTCTTCCTTTTCTGAAGCCCGTGTTTCGGTATCTGAAACTGTTTCCATCATTTTTTCATACTTCTTTCATCTTTCTGAAATACAAAGTCGGAGCCCCTTCCCCCGTTTCTGTCAACACCCTTCTCCCTCCCCCTCTCTTGCCCCTGCCACCTCCTCCTCCTCCTCTTTTTGTCATACATAATATGCCCAATACAGGTCTGCATGTGTCACACATGGGAAGAACTCCTGTGTTTTTAATACATTTTTAATCCTGCCATTTGATGCCCCCCTTGTCCAACGTAATTTGTACTGACTGTTGAACAAAATCAAAGGGCTTGTACTTGCTGCTTCTTGCCTCTGCTTCTCTGCTCCAAAAAAAATGCATTTTTCATGTCGCTTTTTCCCCCGTTCCCACTCCCACACACCTCTGTATGTTTATTTTGACATAAAAGTGGGACTATGTGAAAACCCTAGTAGTAGCACGTCACTTCTCATTAGCTGTCTGATTTGCCTTTTCTGTGTATGTGTGTATCTGTGTGTGTATATGAACCAGCTCATTCATTTTCAGTCTCCATTCATGTGTAGAAATTAACATATAACATAGGATACATTTTTCTTCCCTATTGTATTGAGTTTGATTTGCTCCTTGTCAATCCAAAGATTTTAAAGGGAAGGTTTTCCATGCAACACTTATTTTTTACTAAATGTACAGACTGGCATTTTTTAAAAATAATCTCGAGAGAAATCTCTACTGTATTTTTTGTAATATGTTATGTTGCGCTATCAACACTACATTATGTAGTTTAGTGTAATTTATTTTTCAAGATAGGGGAATAAAATGGCCCAAATCTTTGTACATAGTAACTACATTTATATCATCGTAGCTTTTTAATGGCTGTTAATCAGCTATTTTTATGTGGCAAAGACATGTTTGTAAGTAATGTGCATTGATAATATGGGGCTAGGAATGGGAATTTGACATTTATTGTGAAATAGATATGACAACATACAACTAGTCATTCAACAGTTGAAACACCATGACGTGATGGTATGATAGTCCATTTGTCACAATTTTATGGGTGACATGCACCATAAGGACTAACCTTAAACCTAGACATTCCTCTAACCAGCACCTCCTGGGGGATCCCAAGGCATTCCCCGGTCTGACTGGAAATATAATACCTCCCTCTAGTCCTGGGTCTACCGAGTAGTCTTTTCCAAGTGGGCCGTGCCTGGAAAAGCTCCAAAGTGAAGCAACCAAGAGACATCATTATTAGATCCTAGAACTACCTCAACTGACTCCTTTCAATGTGGAAGAGCAGCAGCTGTACTCCTTTCTCCCTCTGGATGGCCAAGGTCTTCCTACTATCTCTGAGATTGAGTCCGGCCAATCCCTTAAGGAACCCCATCCCACCCACTTGTATCCCCTATCTCCTTTTGGTCACAGCCCCGATCCCGTGACCATAGCTGACAGTCGGAACAAAGATGGACCAGTAAATTGAGAGCTTTGCCTTCCAGCTCAGCTCCCTCTTTGCTACAACAGACTGGAGCAACGCCCTCATTACAGTTGATGAATCCCCAATCCGTCTGTCCATCTGCTGCTGCAACCTGCCATCATTGGTGAATAAGCTGCCCAGATACTTCAACTTTTCCACATGGGGAAGGGACCCACCCCCTGAGAGCATTCAGACTAAAAGCAATTCAAGACCTCAATCAAGCGGCCTCAGAAAGAAAAAGAAAACCTTATCAGGAAAAGGGAATTTGGGGGACTCCCATTGAGCAAGTCCTGGACAGGGGAGACTGGAAAGAGACAAGGGAGAGACAGGAGACCACCTCCACGTGGGCCCACCATTCTCAGAGAGGAAAGTTGAGGTTGGGTGCAGTGTGGAAAGGGTAGAGGCGGAGGCCTGAGCATGCAAATCCTGTCCCCATTAACTGCTCATTCACACTGAAAGGATTTTTCTATTAATTCAAATTGAAAATAGGTTTTGTATTTAAAATACAACACAGTGCATTCTGTTTTTATTTACATTTCATGCAGCATCTCAACAATATAATTGGAAGAATATTTTATTCCCACAAAAACATACAATTTTTTAAACTCTTATTGTTTTCTATAGTGCGAGCACTGTGCCCCACTCTACAATGACAAACCGTTCCGGTCAGGTGACCAGCTTCAACCTATGAGCTGCCGACCTTGCCAGTGTCATGGCCACGCCCTGTCTTGTCATTACGATGCTCTAGCTGATAACCAACCAGAAGAGCACTATCAAGGAGGAGGAGGGGTCTGTGACAACTGCACGCACAACACTGCAGGTACAGTGATAGCTGGAGAAGTTTAGTAATTGTCTTAGAAAGTTGCATTTTATGTTTCCTAAAAGTACTTTAAATTAAAGAACTGAAATTAGAACTAGAGTTCTTTCAGTATTGAATTGTATTTTAATAATGTTTCTTGGCTTACGTTATCTCTCTGGAGCCTATCGTCATTTTCCATAAATACTTTAATCATGTTTCCTTCCCTTTTTATTATCAGGAAGGAATTGTCAACACTGCATTAGTGGATTTTTTAGGCTAAATGATTCTGATCCCACTTCAGTTGATGTGTGTCAGCCCTGTGAGTGCCACACTTCTGGAACGGTCAACGGCACCATGGAGTGTGCCCAGGTATATGAAAACACAGAGTGTGAAGACAGAAGTGTACTAATGATTGAAGTTTTTTAATTATTCACGGTGTTTATTTTAAAGTGTTTCTTACTGTCGTCTTCTACCTCGTCTCCCCCTGTTTGTTTCACTTCCAGATAGGAGGGCAGTGTCAGTGTAAGGCCGGGGTGATAGGTCGCCAATGTGCGCACTGTTTGCCTGGTTGGTATAATCTGGATGCTTCAAATCCGAATGGCTGTATTTCCTGCAACTGCAGTAACCTGGGCATCAGCAGCAGCGCAACAGGAGTGGATTTCAGCTGTGACCAATACACTGGACAGTGTCGGTGTAAACCCCATGTCATAGGTATGTCCTTTAAAGAAATTCATGGAGATTTAACTTTTTTACATCTTCTTTATTTATTTATTTAGTTTTTTTTGACAACCTTAGCTTTGGCGTGACTGGACACCAGTAACTCGCAGGAGCTCCAAAATGTCAGATCTCTAAGATTAATTATTTTATGAATTATAGACAATTACACATGAACTATTTAATCAAATTTCCCTGCTGATTTTATTATTTTAATATTTACGTTTATTGACACCCAGAAAAAGTCTAGGAGGAAAAGCATCAAATAGTGTAGACTTTTGTACAAGTGGCAAATAGTCACAAGCAGCAGGTTAATCTTTAGATAGCTTGTGTTGAAGAAACAAGTGACATTGTCACTTGTTCCTAACCTGGTTAGCTTACATTTGACTCTTTAGTCAAACAGGTCTTGTTCATTGGGAACTTCATGAACTTGATTGTTTTAAGACTTTACTATCAGTTCCATTTAATTCATATCTGTTATAGTTTTGTTGTAGTTTGGATCAGAATGTACATAACTGGAATTTCCAATAATAATAGTTGGTTAATAGCTCAAATGCTACTGAGAAAAAGGTAAACCTTTGGACTTACATGATCAGCAGCTATGACTCCAGCAGACTGTCCACCTCTGGGGTACTGCTTCTATAAATGGCTGTTATAACATAAAATTTAAGCAAGTTAAGATCAACTCCCTCACATGCCATATTTCTCTGTATCTACACAGAATACAGGTGAAAATGTTACCATACATACTCTGTTACATATTTTCAACCAGTGTGGCACAACACCCATTTCTTCTCTGAGAGGAAACTATCAAAATGTTATCAAGATCAAAGGGTAGAAAAAAAAGCTACAATACATTTGGCTGTTAGAGATAGAGCTTTGTTAATTAATCAATAACTTTATGCTTGGAAAAGAAAACATCTCAATACAGATGAGAAACCATTGATTCCTCATGATTCAGCCCTAGGTTAACTTGTTACAGCCCAATTTATTAAATTTTGACAATAACTTGTTAACACCAAAACAGGGTCTGTGCCAGTTGCAAAGCCATAGTGAATCTATCCCCTTTTCTGATTAACTGTCCTGCAAAGTTGCCGTAATCAATGCATATGGACTCTCATTTAGGTGCACACAAAGAAAAAGTGAATACACTGGGTGTGCATGACAAAACAAACATGTACATATATACACACTGATGAACACACACATTCATATTCAAAAGTGTTTTGGCAGCCAAAATAAACAGGCTTTTCTTCTGGCGGTGCTTCTAGCCGTTGTGCCTCTCTTTGTGATAAATGGTTTCACTCTCTCCCCTGTGTGTCTTTGAAGACCAGGCTCGTATGAAATGCAAAACTGGCCAACGCTCCTCAACTCAACGCATCATGCTTATTGCTAAGCCTTGCTATCAAGGGTCCGCGTTTTGTGTGAGTGTGGGCTTGTGTTTTGTATGTGTAAGATAGAGGGTGTATGTGTGTATCTGTAAGATAGAGGGATGTGGCCATGTGTTCATGTACTTTTGTCTTTGCCTAACTCTGTGGATTGTATCCTATAAGACAGTTTGGTGTGTGTATAAACGCATCTGTGTGTGTGTCTGTGTGTGCACGTATGCCATCAAGGACTAAGCTGGTATTTAATTCTCTAATTCAATGCCAAGTTGATTAAAACAAACTGCTGCAGTCCCCTGTATTTTTCTCACTCCTTCTTACAAGACCCATTTTTGTTTTTTTCTGTCCTTGTTTGTTTGGTTGCTCCCACAGGTATTTTTCAGAAATGAGATTTGATTATGGCAATTTATTACCGCCAAGCTGATACTTTGAGTTGAGCAATGGCAGGCATGCTTCAGAAGGATGGAATTGAAATGTGTGCACGCAGACACAGATACACACATGCAGAAACACGCACACACTCATAACAAGGTGCCAGAGTGCAGTGTGTACATAATAGTGTTTGAAATGGTGATGCATGAGCCTGTTAACCAGCTGGCTCCTGATAAAAAGCCTGGCCGTGTCCACAGAACACACACACACACACACACACACACACACACACACACACACACA